GGTCTGACGTGGCGATGAGCTTGCGGATTGGTATCGGTATTTGGGTTGTGCGTGGCGTGCGGCCACGCGGTGGGGGAAATGGAGGTGTAGGACTGTAGGTTGCAAGTTGGTTCGAGCGTATTGGGAATGTAGTAGTTGAGAGCTGGCGCAGTCGGGTACTCCACAGTGCCTTGGTAAGTGGATATGTACATAACACCTGGTGCAATATCCAACAAAATACAATGTAGCCGGCTCCGCTACGAAGTGATATGCAAGGGTACTAGGCTTGACCATGTGGTAATCAGCTGAGAACCCTACTCTTAGGATAACGTCGGCGACGTATCAATGTAAAACCACAAACAACCCCTTGATGGCAAGCGAAACGAGAAGTAAGAGAGATGCCGTGGGATGGAGAAGTGGATCATAGATATACGTTGCCTTTTTCTGATGCTATGCCCACAATCGAAGCGTACATTATCGGGTGCACCTAGAAAATAGGACGGCGCTGCCTTGAGCCAAGACAGCATCGGATAGATGGTCCGCTGTACAACCTTTCCTTGAACCTCGTTTTTAAGTATTGGGCCATCGGGCCTGACGTCACGCAGAGGAAAAACAAAAACAACTGTAGTTGCTGCCCCTCCTGTAGATCCGTGCGGAATTGCACCAGAGGCGGAGGCGGCCAAAAAAAGGGGAGACCAGGAGCGAGGGAGGGTAAAGCGGGTGACAGAACCATAGAGAATAAGAGAAAGAGGCCTGGCAGAGCAGGAAGAGGACGAATCCACCTGCACGGGCTAAATGCATACAGCACTCGTTCCGATACGGTCGACATGATGGACGCAATGGGACGTGGGTCACGGCCCGAAATCTCGTGGTGCGCGGGCGGCCAACAACGTTGCAATCGTGAACGATCTCCACCGCCCCTGTGAAGTCTGGGGTGCGCCAACTATCGATCACGCGATAGTCGATGCCCGCCGCCGAGCATGGCCATCCCTAAGACGATCGAGCTGCCAACATCGGAGCGGTTTCGATGATTCCCAAGTCTATGAGGGAACCTTGTGTGTGCACCAGAACGCTCGAAAACAAAGCAAAGTGGTATGACCAACCCCGCCCATAGGCGAATTCTTAATTAGACACCTCGTCCTATTCAGATTTCGTCGGCTAATCGAATGCATTTCGCCGGCCACCGCCTGCCACCAATGCCAAACGTCATTTCGGCATGGTCTCTTGGGTTGGCATCGCCACTCCATGATTCCTTGGAGCGGAGCAGAACAGAAGCTGCAAAAACCGCATCATCAATATGAGATCTGCATTAGCACACTTTTCGGCAAAATGGCAGGCCATACTGGATTTTCTGTCTGACACGGAAAACGAAGAAACCACGTCCTCAGCAAAAAACACCCAGTGAGGCAGCCTGGGCGCACCCCAAGGCTGACATCTTTGTATGCCTGGCCACCCCATGGGTGAAAACGACAAACATAATTCCAGGCGGTCTGTGCACAACGGGGGCACGCGCACCAATGGGAAAAACCAGCGGGAGCACGTATCCGAGGCCAGAACTTATACATATGCACCGCCTGTGTAACATATGTCCCTCGACCATACCCTCGGCCCCCCTGGGGGCGGGGGGGGGCAAGCAGAACCATGTCCACTGTTTTCTGGGGTCCTGGGACATCGGTTCCCCGGGAAGTGGTTACGTCAATGTAGGTGGGCCGAACGGTCTTACATTGTCCCAGGGTGTGAAACAATGTGGCTGAAAATAAATGTCCGCGGTGCGGATTGCCGTGTTCGTTTGTCGCCCCTGCCCCGCCACCCACCTGCGACCCGCCTGGCGACACACCTGCGACCCACCCACAGCCTATCCCGCGACGCACTCCGCGAGCCACCAACCCTGCCTTGCGAAAGAATCGGAGCCAGCGGCGAAAACGTTTTCTGTTATCATACATGTTGCTTGGCTCTGGATATTTTCACACACACACAAACACATACTAGAAGAAATGTAAACTGCACCGATGGCGGGCATTATTGCATTCTCTTTCGAACATCTCAAACCGCCAACCACCCCTGCTGTCTCACTCCTACCCGCAACTGCGGAGGCAATTTAGATACTCGCTATGGGGACCTTCGTGTAGCCAGTCGCTCCACTATGCGTCGGACCTGCGATGAACGTCCGTCGGCTTGAGTCAAACTTGAATCAAACTTGAATCGAGCTAGAGTCAAACGTCAAACTTGGACCGAATAGATCCATTAGGTGGGCCACAGGGAGGTATCCAAAACGAGCATCTCAGGCAATGGTACACATTCCAACCTCGGAACCGCAAGAAAAGCCACAATCTCACGGCAGAGCGCCGAGGCAAAGCGCGAGCTCGGGCGGCTTACGTCCCGAAGGCAACCAGCGAAGCGTGGCGCGGTACTCCCAGCGGAAGGGGAGTATGTGAGCTCCTGCTCCTCCTCAGCGTATAGTGCAAGCATGGAGGCGATTCCGCTCCTCATTCCGCTGCTGCTGCAGCGGAGCAGGGAGGAATGCAATCGTCCTTACCCCTAACGGTATCACTGACGTCAGCCTGTAGTGGCCGGCCTGGTGAGTGCCTGGGCACCGAGCACAAAAGAACTTCTAGCCTCAGGAGCAATGCGACATACTATGCGAGCATGCAGCGCGGTGGCATGATCGCGTGGATGAAGCAGTCGGCAGCAGCCTTCAAGCAAAGGCGACAGACATCATGCTCAGGACGCCGAAGATTGAACCTGCGTCAACAATATGAGCTGCGTGCACGAACCCTAATCGCGCAAACCAGCGGACAGGACATGTCCCGCAGTACGTGCCGAGGATCAGGCAATCCATCATTCAATGCAGAAGCTGCTTGGAAATCTTGCTGATGCCAACAGGTCCGCCAACAATAGAGCGTCGAATAATTGAAGCAATATGTGGCTTGAAAGCTGTGGCAGCAGCAAGAGCGCAAGAGCGCAACCCTAGGCCTTCGGATAACCAGAGGGCCGCGGGGCACGATGAACACCAGCGATCATGGGTTTGATTCTAAGGGTTCTGGATCTGACTTCTGCGGCACCGACGCCATCATTAAGTACCCAGCCGTGTCTCTGAGTGGGGGGTCGCATGGCTTCGTCCAACGCTCCCTGGGCGTGGGAACCAATGCATGACATATCAGGTCAACTATCTTGATGCACGTGGCGGCCATGAGGCACCTGAATCCAAGCCCCAACTGCTTGTCCAGCCCGTCGGGAAACGCGCATGTTAAGCCATCGAGATCAAACTGCATATTAGACCTGTCTTGAGACATCTGGTAGCAGTACCAGCGGAATGCCAGCAAAGATACCATGCTCGAGAAGAACGTGAACATATTGCTAAACAGCCGCCGCCGTGCTCGCTGGCACGCACTTGCGTGGGATAGCCCAGGGCTGCCAAGCTGTTTTCGTGGAATCGTATAGCCCCCTCCCCTCCCCAATACCCTGCGCCAATATCCCCAGCATGCACCAACCGACCTGAGGCACACAGATTGCAGCCAACATGGATTGCACCAGAAGGTTACACCAAACAATTTGCAACTCATAGCTAACACAAACTATGTGTGTTCACGTGATGAGTGTATGTATGTACGCGTGTACATATGATAAGCTCAAAGAGTACGGCGACATGCAGATTGAAAACATCGTTTCCATACGCATATTCCACCGTACGTATTGAATGTCGAAGATGCAAGAACCCACTGGTTGGATCATTTCTGACAAACAGTTGTATCACAGGTTATGGGCGTGACGGATGGTATATCCCTCTGGAGCCTAGGGGTTCAGGTTGCCATATGCCGCGGCCGTCTAGTCAACGTCCGAAAGGGTCGACACACATAATGCTGCGATGCCACATTGGCGGAACTTGCCGCAAGCGCGTGTATACCCATGGCTTTTTGGCAGTTCACGTCGCCGAACCTGGTGGACCTCTGCAAGTCTGTAGCGATCGTCGGAAGCTGACCGAATATCGAAATTATGAGAGAAGACTGGGAGACCAGACTGTTGGCGCAGCTCTCGCACCTCTCGCGAATGTCCTGCAAGAAGGAGGCTTCGCAAGTGTCAGGGTCGTCCCATCTCGTTGTTTTGTCCATCGTGCCGTCTCCAGCAGCCTCGAACCCCTGCTCAGCAAACGCGCTCTCGCACCACCCAGGGTTGGCCATGGACGAGCAATCGACGCTGACATGATTCAGCTTCACGTTCACCAACAGCGTCAGATCGATAGGCGATGTTCAGAAGTAGAAATGGCATAAGCACGAACTCTCGAAGGTCCGCGCAGATTTCGAGGATCGGCGCTGCCCCCCCCCCCCCGGCGCCGCCTGAGGTGCCGCCAGGGGGCCCCAGCGCCGATCGAAGAAATCCGCGCGGACCTTCGAAACAGTATGTCTGCTGTTTACGCCTCTTCTCCTTCTTTGAATGTCGCGCCAGCGAAGCTGCAGGAGAGCGTGGCGTCGGTCCGCACCCAGGGGAATGCCCTGAAGGCCCAGCTGCCTGGGTCAGAGGCGAGGCCGCCCGTCGCGGCTACGAGGCAGAGGACCAAGGACAAGCTGTTCACCAGTGCGCCGAACGTCATGACCGCCTTCCTTAGAGGCATAGAAAATACTGGCATACCCGTCGGTCGAAATAAGTAGGTAGAGACATGAAATACGAAGGTGGATCAAGTAAGTACATTGGGTTCAAGCGCTCCCAGAGAATAGCGAAGCACAACAAAAGCATATCGATGAACGATCCTGTTTATGCCGTATTGGGGGAAACGAGAAGGTATCGATACCGTTACTCCCCTGACCAGAATGTTGATGCGAATCTAGCCATGGCGACGAGGGCCACCACAGATGCCCAAGAAGGCGAAATCGAGGTAAGGGCAGCGGTACCTGTAGCTTTTTCTGTCCTTCTCCATCTTCGAATATCGTAGTCTTATTTCCAGTTTGATCCTCTTCGATTCCTGCGGCGCTCCGCCCACCCGACACCGAGCCTGCCGAGACCAACACAGCAGCAGCTGTGCTCGATCAGCGGCGAGCACTGCACGAATCTGGGGGCGAGCGGCAGCGTGTACTCGTTGGAGAAGTGCCGGAGGCACGAGCGCTCCGGGCTGATGGTGGGCGCGCAGAAGCCCCCGCAGATGGTTGGCGGCGCCCACTCGGGGGTGACGCCAGGGGGGGCGGCTTTCTCAGAGGGCGCGGGGAGAAGGCGGGCCTGGTTAGACCGGCCCGGAGGCTTCAAAGACGTCCTCTTGGAAGCCCGCCGCCTTCGAAGAAGCCCCGCCGCCTCCTTAGACCCCCCCCTGACGCCACCCAATTGTGGGCGCCGCCAAGATGGGCACGTTGTACACCCAGAAGTTCGGCGAGACGGGTGAGCAGCGCCCCCCCTGAGCATCGTTTAACCGATCCCCATCCCCACAGGCATGGCCTTGGCCCCACTGGCCGATCTACTCTTCCCAGATGGGAGTTTAGGCTGCTCCCTTGGGAGCTCCAGGGGCCAGTGCCCAACTGGGGGGCGGCATGGTGGGGCTCAGGTACTATGGCCTGGTGGGGATGGGGATGGGGATGGGGATGGGTTTAACGATGCTGACCCTCGGCGCGGGCTCAGCGCCCTTCCAGTTGCTCCCGGGGGCAGTGCTAGCGCCCGCCTCGCTCCTTTCGGCCTTGGCGTCGGGGCCACTCGGCGTCGGGCCGCCGTCCACGGCGATGCCCTTTGCCTCGGCGCCCCGCTGGTCGTCCACCGCCTGTGTGTGGCGGTGCGCGCAACCCTTAGATCTGGGCGATGTTTTTTTTCACAACGGTTCTTTGTTGGCGGTGCTAAATGGGGATAGATGGGGAGGCGAAGGAGAAGAAACGTGACCCCCGCGTGTCCCTTTGGGGCCCCAGAGGGCCTCTCTAGGGCCCCTTGGAGGTGCACCTGTCGTCCACCCCCCCCTCCCATCTGTTTCCGCCTGGTCTCCGGCGCCAGGACCTGCAGAAAGATGAAATCTAGGGCTCTGGTCGTGATTTGTCGCGATGTCGCATTTGGTTCGCAACGCCGGGTCTCAGGCAAGGTACAGGGGGCTTCTTAGGAGGGCTCAGAGGCTTCTGAGAGAAGGCTTCCTAGAAGAAAGGAGTCCTTCCGAAGAGCGCACCGCCTTCTCACAAGGCCACCCCCCTCGCCACATCCCTGACCAAAGCCCACTCACCACAGCTCCCTGGGCCGCTCGTGGGGTCCGCCCTCGCCAATTGTCCGAGCTGCGCCCAGTCGTGACCACCAGGGCGCCCCCAGAGTTCCCCCATAGAGATGTCAACACCGCAACAAAAACATCCTGCGAGCCTCAATCCTTGAGATCCGACGACACGAAATTATCCTGGCGAAGGACCCAACCGTATGCATTTGTGAGGAACGCAGTTGTGAGAGTCGTTTTCGGTGGATGGAGTTCCCTATGGGGCTACGAAACGTGTGAGGGGTGTGCCGACATGGACCGGGCGGACGCATTTGGACCCTGCAACTGGGGCCTTCGGTGGAGCGTCCCATGGGGCCACGAAGCGTGTGAGGGGTGCCGACATGTGCAACGTGTGAGAGGTGCCGAAATTGGTCGGGCGGACGCATGTGGACCCTGCCACTGGGGCCTTCGGTGGAGCTTCCTATGGGGGGGGTCACGGCACGTGCCGACATCGGCCGGGCGGACGCATGTGGGCCCTGCCTCTGGGGCCTTCGATGGAGCTCCTTATGAGGCCACGAAACGTGTGAGGGGTGCACCGGAACAGAGACATGCGGATGGCAGGGGCGAGAATGGGAGGAAGGAGGAGCGGGGGGCGCTGCCTCTTCAAAACTAAGACCCAACATCACAAGACGGTTGGGAAAAACAGCATCATCGAAAATACGCTCGACCAAAGCCCTGGGCCCCATCTTCCTGCTGCACTGTTGTACCTGTATCGATCCGTGAGGGCCTCGGGGCCCGAAACGAGGCAAAGCCGCCCGCTGGAAAGCATGTGACGCTGGGGCCTCAGGAGGCCTCGATGTTCCGCCCCCGCCCGGCGAGGCTGACGGCGCCACCTGTGCCGAGGGGGCGCGCTCCACCGCTGAAGGACAACGCTTCGGAGGGGGAATAGAGTCGGACCTAGGCCAGAAAAACATCCGTCAATAACATGATTCCCTCCGTCGGCCAAAACAAACATAACATCCAAGGGTGTCCTCCCAAGGATGCACAAGAACATCAAACAAACACAAAGAACACCAGGGTACCCTCCACGAATCGACCTCGATTTTACACCTCGGTCCGACTGTACGGCAGGACCGTGTCGTGCTGTTGTCAGTGTTGGCTTCTGACACCGCGGGGATCGTGCAACCTTGAACGATCGGCCAATTCCGAATCGTCAGACTGTTCAGCATCGACAGATTCTAGGTCGCCAGCGGCGTTCAACGTTGAACGCCGGCGGCGGGGTCGCCGCTGGTCGACACGACGCGAGCCCACCGCCGGCTTCGGGAGGAAACGTCGAGCTGGAATCGGCGATACATCGCCGATAGATCGGCTATGTGCCCTCGATGGCAAATCCGAACGTTCCTAAGTAGACAAAAGTACTCGGGACCCTACTGTGCTCAGTGGGCGATTGGGGGTCGATGTGTCCCCCCCTCATCCGACCCCTCCATAATAACGCTGCCCCCTGGCGTCATAACTCGGCTCCCCTGCGGAGGTTCTGCACGATCTGGGCACAGGCGGAACGCCCTCGGCATGGCGCAGACGCTGGAGAAGACCCGAGGTTATGAAACCGCCGAGAACCGCTAACATTTCCTGAAGGCCTCTAACCTCGACTTTATGCCCCCTTAGCTTAGCTGCCCCTATACGCAACACGGTCTGGCGCGATAGGTTCACCGAAGCGTGGGCCATAAAGTGCCGAGTCAACATGCAGCAAGTTCAACCCAGACGCCCTGAACACAGTAAGTGTTGCGTTTCAGCACAGGTGCATCAAGGCAGCCCCCATGCAACGCTACCCCTGACGACGGAGCGCGTTCCACCTCCGGCAAGGGCACCTCGCCCAGCGCGGCGGCCTGCGCCGCCGGGCCACCCTGCTGCGGCTCCTGCGGGGGGACCTTGGCCTGCGGCGGCACCGCAAGGGGCTTCGAAGCCGCCTGCAGGAGGGCGCCAACCACACACGTGCACGCATCCTGCGCCCAGGCCAGGAGGGCAGATTATACGTAGCACCCCACATTTGCGGATGAGAGTGAGGGGCGGAGGTGCGAGCGAACCCAGACGCCCCCAAACGTGGCCCCCAAACCTGGACCGAACACGTGGCCCCCCAACGTTGGCCCCCACGCGTGGCCCCCAAACGTGGCCCCCAAACGTGGCTCCCAGACGCCGACCCCTTAGATCCAACCACGCGCGCGCAGGTAGAATGTAAGACCGTTCGGGCCCCCTCACTCGGATACAGCCATCGTGAAGCCTCCCCCACCATCCGCCGAATCCCCCTCTGCGCGTATGCGTGGTGCCCTCCGAGCCTGCCCCATCTGCGGGGGCAGCGCGGACTG